GCCTCCAGGTCTCCGTGGAGCGTAGGAACCTAAACTTACTAGACATCATGGTCCAAACTGAAAGAAGATCATGAGTGAAAACAAAACCCAACCAAGTTCTCTGTTCATATGGTCAACTACTTTTACTTCTATTAATAGGCTTCTTGCTAAAACAAGTAAGTTTCAGGTATCTAAAAAAGATTTTATAACTTGTGGCAATCTGAGTAACTAAGAAATATTTGGAGTTGATTGTGAAAGATACTCAAGGGAATTGGGACCTTTTAGAATTGATCAATGAGGCTGAAATATGCCTTAGCATGTCATTATTATGTTTCAAATTACATCTCAATATCAGCAACTTGCATTCTTCCTTAGAGTTTTTAGGGAAAATTAATACCCAAATGGTTTTTTCTTGGTATATTTTATGTACGTGTCAAGTGGAAGATATGAGGAAATAATAAAAGATCAAAATTTGTTGTTTTAATAGTATAAATAATCATTGTTAACTATGTTTAGGTTAAATAGAGCTAGAAAAATAAATTATGAACAGGTGGCAGGATGGTGCAAAGGGGACATAAAGAAATGAATTTCCCTCTTCTTCTAAAAGAGAATCAATGTAATCCATTCTTTAACTCTACATCTGGCTGAACACTACCATTGAGAGCAATAAAAACACAAAGATATGACCTAGTAGGCAAAAACAAGTGCTCAGATTTCCTAATTTCATGCAATGTACAGGTTACTAGAAATAAACTTAACATGTGCAATATTGAACCAAAAAAGATAAGGCCGTTGCTTGTTATTTTCAGAGATGTTAAATAAACTACTTAAGGAATTTCCTGACATTTGTAAGCAGGAAGCCACTTAAAAGGCTGAAATTTTTTTTAAAGCAGTCCTACTATTAAATCAACATCTAATAGAGTGTTAATGCCCCAGGGAGTACATATCACTATGGACACAAAAACACAGATGGCTCAGATATACAAAGTAGATAAATATACGCTAATATCTTGCAATAATTTTAAATAGGTAATTCGGTAACCCATTTGTCAATTCAAACATTACATAGAAAACATGTTCAAAAGGGGTAATTGTAAAACTAAAATTGCTTAGGACTAAAAATCTGTACCCTACCAAAAAACAAACAAACAAAAAGTGATATTATTACTCTGATAATAAGGAAGAATAAAATGGAACCAACAAGACTACAGATGTGACCTGACTTTTCCCTGTCATAAGTAAGTTAGAAGGACCTTTTGTTTATTTATTTGTTTTGTTCTGTTTTGTTTTCCAAATCCAGGTCCTTAGGTTATCTGTACAAAAATCAGTTAAACTACTTTAAATTTGGACTCCACATCTAACCTACTGAAATAGATTCTCAAGCATGAGCTAATATTCTCAGATGAATTTTGTATACATCAGAATGTGGGTGTGTTTGGAACTTTGTATGACATGCTTCCCAATCTCCAAGCTCTCTTGCTACTATTCATCTAACCTTACTATTCATCTAACCTTCTTAGTAATGGAAACGTGTGCTTTTTCTGTCCTTCCCACCCTTTCTTTATGAAAGATCACCATATACATGAAAGACTTAAACTCTTCACTATACAGACATATCTCATTTATTACACTTTATTTATAGCAATTCTTAAAATCTGTCATTTTTACAAAGTGGAAGTTCATGGTAACCCTATACTAAACAACTTGTTCAATGCCACATTTCTCATACCATGAAAACACTTAATATCTGTTTCACATTTTAATGGTTCTTACAAATTCAGAAATTCTTCATAGTTGGTATTTTTTATACAACACACTGATCAGTAACGTTAGGTGTTATTATTTTAATTGTTATGAAGCACTAAAAACCACTGCCATTTAAGTCTTAATCTGTAGGTATTATATACTGACTGCCACACCAACCAGTGATCCAAGTCTCTCTCCCTTTGCTAAGGCCTTCCTATTGCAAGACACAGCAGTATGGAAACGAGGCTGATTAATAATCTTAGAAGGTCCTCTATGTTATCCAGTGAAGGGAAAACCTTCACATCCCTCACTTTAAAAGAAAAGCTCAAAATTATCAAACATAGTGAAAAGTAGGTCGAAAACTGAAATGTGGCAAAAGTTAAACTTCTTGCTCCAAAGCTGGCCAGGACTGGAATGTTGGGAGGACATTCTTAAATCAGAGAAATTTTAAATAAGTGGCAACTTTTGGAAAGACAAAAACCCAAAAATGCATCTCAAAGAAACAAACAAAAACATCACTTTCTTGTAAAGTGCTCTTGTCTGGGTTTAGGAAAGAGAAAATGTGGAAAGACAGGATTTTAAATACATAGTATTTAGCCTTTTGAAAGTTACTGACAATTCATCTAGTACAATTTCACGGGGGTAACAGAAACAGAACCTGGTTCAGAACAAGTAAAATCTGATTAAATGAAAAGATTGTTTCACTATAAACAATTCTCTCAGAAATCTTAACTGCAAAGTAGAAAGAATAAGGATGCAATATGGTTAAAGAAATGTTTTATATAATGAAGTTGAGCTAATGGATTGTGATGACCAACTTAAAGAATATGAGTGCTTAAACATTCCAAAACACTGAAATATAACATTGTGGAACATGGATGAACGGGGAATGAGAACCCAAAGGTTGAAGAGTTAACTCTAAACCAGAAACATGACTTCCAAGCAAGAATGGAAGAGATTAAAAGGGATAACAATAGATGGGGTACTGGGGTATGAAAGAAAAAGTATATATTACTAGCAAATAAAAGTCTAATATGAGTAAGTATAAGAGAATATAATACCAAATATTCTAATTTAAAACTATATTTTAATTTGAAAGGCAGAGGGAGAAATAGGGGGAAGAAAAAAAAAAAAAAACAAAAAAACCTTCCTTTTACTGGTTCCCTCCCTAGGGAACATCCGGATTGGACCATGCTGAAGCCAGAAGAACAGAACTGCAACTGGGGTTCTCAAATGTATAGCAGGGACTCAAGTATTTGAGGCATTGCCTGCTGCTTCTATGTATTTGCATTAGCAAAGTGTTGGATTAAAATGGAGCAAACTTCACTTGAACTAGGCACTCTGTTGTTAACTGTGGGCATCCTAAGTAGCCAATAGACACAGCCACCGCACTATACACCAGCCCATGACAGCATTTATCAAAAGGTAACCACAGCTGCTCAACTTTAAAACTCCAATTTTTATAAAACAGAGCTAGAAAATCACCGTAAATACCAAAACACACCCATAAAAAAAAGACTAAGTTCTTTGAATTGGTTTTACAGGCATTTAATGAATATTTCAGATGCAGCATTTTACCTCCATATTTACTACTTCAATTAAAACTGCAATCTGTTATATTTCAAAATTAAATGTGAATTTTATATCTCAGAGAAAATTGGAAGTTAATGTCATACAGTAAGATTACAATGAGCTATATGCTTTCCATCTTCCCTTTTCAAGATTATATTTCAAGATATATTTCAATTATAAATTGGATTATTCTTGAAAAATAGGTTGATCGGTTACAAACAGATGAATAAAGAACTTAAACACACATAGAAAACAAGCTACTATAAATGAAAAGGCTTTATACTAATATAAGATCTTGAGAGTTCATTTCTGCCCATGGTGAAATAAAAGCTCCAAAAGCCTTTAATCTTTCATTACCTTTAGTAGGATCGAGGGAGGTTGAAAAAGGAAGAGGAATAGAATCACAGTTCAATTTTTCTTAGGATTACTGATCAGCAGAGAATATCTGGAAGAGATAAATTGATTGTTAGATTTTTATATACTGTAATGTAGATATTTGCCATGTTTCTTCATTCACACAGGAGAAGGGAATAAAGCTTATCCTTTTAGGTAGGATCCATATATTTACTGGTTTAGCTGCTGTATTCATTCTTTAGAAGGATTATCCAGTCTTCAGAGAATTTGATTCACAAGCAGGAGATATGAGCATGTAACTTTAGGCAAGTAAATCAGTGTCTTTTAGATTTTCTTTCCTTAAGTGTAAATTACAGAGAATGCTTAATGCCTATCTCGCAAAATTATTGAAATTTAAAAAAAAGACTATACACATACAATTCCCAAACTTGTTTAAAAACTTGGAAAACGGAATAGTCATTAATGATTATTACTTCAGGAAAAATACTTAAAACCATTCGATGGGCTTCCAATGAATTTTGAATTTATTAAATCCCAGAGAATCTTCTTATGTTGAATTTCTGCCTCTTAAAGTTATTGCAAATTTAGTTCTGCTGGAATAACATATCCATTGACTGAAGATTTAGCATGGAAGTCACATAAGTCATAAATGCTGTAAATATATATTTTAACTGATTTTTCTGTTGTATGTAACAGTCTATCAGTATCTAAGTCTTCAAATACACCTTGGTTTATTATGTAAAAATGTGGGATCCAGTTTTGATGATCAGTATAAACAAAATGGTACACAGTGTTTTAAGACATGTTTCTTTCAGTTAACCAAACACAGTTGGTATTTGCTTTTTTCCATTTTGATAGACATTTCAGTTACCATGAGTTAGCTGATCATTTATCCCTGGGTTGATATTGTGGCCTAGCAGATAAAGTTGCACCTGTGACATTGGCATGCTGCCGGGGCATCAGTTTGTGACCTAGCTGCTCCTCTTTTGGTCCAGCTCTCTGCTAACGCACATGGGAACCAGCAGAGGACGACCAAGTGCGTGGGCCCTTGTACCCACCTGAGAGACCTGGAAGCAGCTCATGACTCATGGTTTAGGTTTAGCCCAGACCTTTCTTTTTATGGGATAGAAGATCTCTCTCTTCTCTCTTCTTCCCTCCCTTCCTTTCCTTCTCCTTGTACAATTCTGCCTTTCAAATAAGTAATTATAAAAGAGAAAGAAAAATGTCCCAAATTTAAGCCACAAGAATGTATTAACTAATTTCATAAAATACTTCCTCTAGATATGTAATTCCGAACTCCATATTTAAATAAACAATATGGAACATGATCAATTAGAAATTGCACCACTGTGCTCACTTTGGCAGCACAAATACTAAAATTGGAATGATACAGAGAAGATTAGCATGGCCCCTAGGCAAGGATGAAATGAAAATTTGTGAAGGGTTTCATAGAAAAAAAAAAAGAAAGAAATAACATCACTTATTTTAAGTCTGATGGTGATTAGTAATAGCACAACCACTACCTGATAGTGTATACTTCTGTTACCTCCTTGTCTTTCAGTGATAACCTATTTGACTTTTTAAAATTAATTTAATACCTTTTTAACTATAGTGATGCCTTCCTTTAAGATATTTATTTATTTTACTTGAAGATCAGAGAGTGACCTACTATGCTCCTGATTCACTCCTTAGATGGCCACCGTGGTGGGGAGCTGAGGCAATCTTGAAGCTCAGAGCTAGAAGTTCCTTCCAGATTTCCTAAGTGAGTTCAGGGGCCCAAGGACTTGAACCATCATTCGCTGCTTTCCCAGGACATCAATAGGGAGCAGGATTGGGAAATGGAACAGCCCGGACTAGAACTTGTGCCCACACATCACAGGCTGATTAGCCTGTGTCAGCAGCACACCGCCAGAGTTCCCATTTTACAAAACTGGAGGAGAAAAAAAAAAAAGGAAATTGCTCCCCACAAATGACGAAGAAAAAGCAAAAAGAAAAAGTGAAATTTTATGCTGAACCTGAAAATTGAATTTCCTGTAATTATAGAAGATACAAATACTCATAAACTGCTAATAATGCCAAAACCATAAGTATTCTAATAATACACCGTGAAAGAATTGAGTGTACCATTTGAAAACGTGGCATCCCACCGGGCTGGTGTTGAGTGCTGAGAGGAGCTGGCCAGGAGCGGCCATTCAGGCCTGGTGCTTCCTGCAGACCTGGTTCAGCTTCAAAATTGTCAGCACCAGTAAGTTTTCTGATGAATCTAACGGGCTTAAGATTTACGAATCTCTCTGGTAGGTCCTTCTCGTCCCGAGGGCATTCCGTACCCGGCACAGCCTCAGTCTCTACTAAAACTCTATTTCGGCGTCAGCGGAAGTGTTTGGGTTCCACTTCCTGGCCAAGCCCCGGAAGCCGGCTGCCTTAGGAGGCCCGGGAAAGAGCCAGGTGGATAGCACCTGTTGGTTGTGTGCTTGCTCCCACTGCCGGTGAGCTGGAAGGCTTGAACGCTCCTCTCCAGCGGGGTGCACCAGCGCCTCCGCCGCGAAGAGCATGGTCCCCAGGCCCCGACGCTGATCTCGGGGCGGCCCTGAGCCAGCCTCACAGGAACACCAGCCAGAGAGAGCGCGAGACCGACGTACAACCGCACACCCAAGAATCCAGTCTCATCAAGTCCCTGGTCATTAATTACAGCATCAGTGTGGGGACTCTGCGGAGAGGCAAGCCAGTTCCTGAGGGGCTGTCGCGGAAGCAGCCCCAAGGCCACCCCGTGAGGAGCTCCGGGTGGGGCACTGCTGCGTGCGCACCCAGGCCTTCCTCGCTCCCACAGGCCTTCCTCGCTCGTGGAAGCTGCAAACCCGCTGCATCCCGCATCCAGGCCCCATGAATGTCGCGGCTCGGCCTCCTCTTTTCTGAAATCCATGTTAAGTGCTTTCCCTGCTCCTGGGAAGTTCAGCAAGCCAGCTGAACTACAGGCAGCTTGGGACCACAGTCGTGTTGGCTCTGCAGGTTCGGGGAGGGTCTGCGGCAGGCCATGAGCCACCCGAAAGGCAGGCGTAGGACATGGAAGAGCCGAGCTACGAACCATGCTGGAGAGCCTTCTTCCCAAACCGCGCTCAGCAGCCATCCCTGGGAAGCAGGCTTCTGTGGAGGGGGCGCTCCTGCAAGCCAGCTTTGACCTGGAAGGGAAGACCTGGAGCGGCTGTAAGTCCATGCATTGCCGCTAGGCATTTCTGGCTCTTTGGAAACATTTACTGCCGTTTGTTGCAGTACTGACAGTAGTTCAATTCGGCAGATGTGAATGACTAAATGAATTAACTCTTGAGCACAAAGCTTGGCAGTCACCTTACTGATCAGCAGCACATCCTGAAGGTGAGTGAGGTGATGTCGGAACTTCAAGACACATGGACTCAGATGGATAACTCGAGACAACATTCAGAAAAGTCTTTGGAGGAGACAGCTGGCTTACAGTCTCTTTTGTTAAAAGCACTGGAGCTAACAGGAATTCCGGAATACCATGTCCTGTTTCCACAGCCCAGTGCCAGCCAGCTCTTAGCAATCTTGCCGACCCACAACAGCATCCTGGGAAGGCATCGTCTGTGCCTGTTCCATCCCTGGTGAGTAGTCTCACTTCTGATTCATGAGCTATGTGTATTGGTGGCCTAGAGTTCAACTTTCTGTGCTCAGCTCAGATAGTAAGAAAGATAGCTCTTTGCTTACTGTAACAAATATGCGGTTCTGGAAAAAAAAATTGAGTGTAGGCGAATTGTCTTTAAAGGAATAATATTGTGATAAGGATGAAGTCCAAGTGTAAATGACATCAAGCAAAACTCACACTAAAGAAATTCCTGAGGATACTCCATAATATTAGAACTCTAGAAGATGAAACATTAAAATAAGTGATAGGATGATAAATGGGGAAAGAAGCATGACAATTGGCCAAAGCACAAAAAGTATTCTTCCTTCATATTATAAACTGTCTCATGAGAAGAAAGCACAGACTTCAAAGTACTATGAATACATTTTGACAAAAAGACGATGCAGTGCTTTAATTATGAATAGTTGCAGTATTTTAGTATACTGAAGAAATATTAATACTATCTTATTTTTTTATATTTTTTAACTGAAAAGGTTTTTAATTTTAGAATATTTTATTTAAAATACAGAAAGAGAGGAGAGATCTTCAACTTCTGGTTCATTCCCCAAATGCCTGCAACATCTACTGCAGGGCCAGGCCAAAGAAGTTCAGGAACTTAAGGCAACTCAGTCATACAGGTGGACAGGTGCCAAGTACTAAAGGCAGTGTCTGTTGCCTCTCAAGGTGTGTGTTAACAATAAGCTGGACAGGGAAGCAGAGCTGGAATTCAAACCCAGTCCCTCTAACTTAAGATATAGGCATTCCAAGTGGAGACTGAGCCATTGCACCAAATGCCAACCCCTAAATATTTAAACATCATATTGGATGTTGGGGGCTGTTTTTGCATATTTTCAGTTTGCTTCTTCACTTATACAACTAACACCACCATGCAAATTGAGAACTGTTCATACTGACTGATGAGATACTCTTGATATGATGGCCTATCCTTTTGTATAGTCTTTGGATGTTTTGAGCTATTTCTATGACAAGAAAACATTTGAAGCATTTCTTTACAGCTTTTCCAAAGGACATAGATTCTGTTAACCCTAGGTTCTGCATAGGAAAAAATAGCAAATGACAAAGAGTAAATTATATTCCTCGAGTCGGAACTGAAATTTGAGATTAGATACTTTGATTCTAAAAATGATATATATGCTGCCTCAACTAGATTTGGGTAATCAAGACTTTAAAAACTGACAGATGGAGATTTCCTGCCATGGCAACTCAAGTTCTTTGTTAACTTTTTTATGCAAAAAGTCAAGAACATGTTACTGATGTACATGACCATTGAAAGGACTAAGTGTATGCGTTTAATACATTTTTAAAGATTCATTTATTGAAAGGTAGATTTACATAAAAAGGGAAAAGCACATAGTGGGAGATTTTGCTTCTACTGATTCATTTCCCAATTGTCTACAGTATCCTGGGCTGGACAAGGCCAAAGCTTGGAGCCTGGAGTTTCACCCAGGTCTCCTACACTGGGGTCTGGGCTCTGAGCACTTGGATTATCTTTCAGTGTTTTTCTAGATATGTTAGTAGAGAAGAGATTGGAAAATAGATTAATTTATACTTCAATTTGTGTCAATATGGGATTCCAGCATTACAGGTGGCAGCTTAACTTATGGTGCCACTACACTGCCCCCCATGACATTTATTAATCTCAGTAATTAGATTCCTTTTTTCTATATATAATTGCAAGTGTTGGATGAAATTGTTTTGTTTATTTTTGCTTTCACATTTGAAACTGTGTAATAGCATGAAATGAAGCCAGTTAAGGGAAAGGATTAAAATTATTAGTGACTCAGCATTAAAGCAAGGTTCTCATCAAGTGAAAATCACCAGTACTTAAAAGAGGGACATTTGCATCACATCCAAACCAGTATCTGAAGAGACAGTTTCAAGATGGACCAGGAAAGTCCATGGATATGAAGCACCTCATTTTCTCATCACATTTGCTTTTGGGTTTGGACACTGATTCGTAGGAGATTCTAGAGCACAGATGTACGTAGTATGTCTGAAATACATCAGTGAGATTATTTCAGAGCTAGAAGACAAAAATTTGGACAAATTTCTAGAGAAAATGGTAAAAACTTCAATAGAATAAAAATTTTAAGTCCATTCATTTTGTCATAGTCAAGAAAAATAGTACTAATGAAAGTTTCAGAAGTACATTGTAAAACTGACATTGTGGTGCAGTGGCTTAAGCTACTACCTGCGATGACAGAATCCCATTTGAGCATCTGTTCAAGTCCTGGTTGCTCTCTGTCAGTGTACCCGGGAAGGCAGTGGGAGCTGGGCCAAATGCTTGTGTCCCTGCTTCCCATGTAAATCTCGATGGAATTCCTTAGCCTGGTCAAGACAGGCTGTTGTAGCCATTTGGAGAGTGAACCAGTGGATGGAATCACATAAATAAATGTGAACAAAATTATGTTACAATGTTCTTAGAAATGTAACACTGTGTTTAAAAATAAACATTTTAATATTATTTACACACACACATATATATACATGTTTACTAAAAAGTATACTTTTCTTCAAATTATGTCTGTCAATGAATTATTTTTTCAATTGTTCTAATCTCTTGCAATTCCCCTATTTTTTCTCTTTTCTTATTCCTTCCTCCTTCCCTCCTTTTTTTTTTCTCTTCTTGCTCTAAAGTGAAAACGGACAAGGTTAAAAATAACTAGAACTGTTAGAGAATAGTCAATAAAACTACTAATTCTGTAATAAATGACAAGTATTATATCAGGTTTTTATTGCAAGAAACTTCAATGTTCAACTACAGCATACTGAAATATAGCTAATTTTTTGATACTTAAATT